AAAAAAAAAATTAAATCTAAAGTAAGCACTTTAAGTAATTGTGCATTTTAAGAAATAGAAATGTGTCAGGTGCAGTGGCTCATGCCTATAGTCCCAGTGGTTCAGGAGGCTGGGGCAGCCTCAGCAAAAGCAAGGTGCTAAGCAACTCAGTGAGAACCTGTCTCTAAATAAAATACAAAATAGGGCTGGGGATGTGGCTCAGTGGCTAAGTGCCTCTGGGTTCAGTAATTCCCCCCCCCCAAAAAAAAGGAAAAAAAAGAAAAACCCAACGTATCCTATCATGAAGTAATGAAGTTGAGAATTGGTTTAAATTACTTCAGCTAACAAAACAAGGGCAGTTATCTAAAATATTAGCAGAAGTCTTTTCCTCATCTTTGGAAATAATCACAATGTTCAATTCTGATGCAGTTATGCCCAAACATAAAAAAAAAAAATGGTTGGAGCACTAAGAAGTTTTGGGCAGTTGCCCCACAGGAATCATTCAGAGTAGAAGCAATCAAATATTTAAAGATGTGGGGGATCATGATGGTCTCCTGAAACTGAGATAGGATTCTATGAATTGACTAATGACAAGCCTATAAATATTGTCATTGTTACTTGGCTTCTTTACTTGCCAGACCTTTAGTGCTCCATTTTTTGGTGCACTAAAGGTCTGGCAAGTAAACACATGAGGGCCCCCTCATGGAATGAGGTGTAATTGCAGTGATATTTATTGCTGAAATTGTAGATGACTGACATCCAGGAAGGTACACACACATTATTGACATTTGAACCAAAAAGAGTTTTGCAGTATTAAGATTGCAGAGTTTGAGAACAAAGACTAAGGATGGGGAAAGTAAACAATGGGAGTGAGACTACTACTCAGTTGTGTAAGGAACTTTCATCAGTAAATCTTGGTCCTTTTTAAAAATATTTTTTTAGTTGTCGATGGATACTGCACCTGTATTTAATTTATTTATTTTTATGTGATGCTAAGAATTGAACCCAGTGCCTCACACATACTAGGCAAGCACTCTACAACTGAGCCACACCCCCAGCCTAACTCTTGGTACTCTTGACTATCTCAATACACTTTGTTCAATTTAGACAATTTCTTACTTTGTTCAATTAGTATTATTTTAATTGTTTATCAGGAAATCACATCTCTTTCTATAACATACTCAAATCCAAAGATTTTGTAGTTGGTGCTCCATTCTGTTGACTTTGACTTTGTATGTTGGGAGGATTCATTTCTTTTTTGGGGGAGTGGATACTGGGGAGTGAACCCAGGGATACTTTACCAATTAGCTACATCCTAGCCCTTTTTAAAATTTCTATTTTGAGACAGGGTCTCTCTAAGTTGCTGAGGCTGGCCTCAAACTTGCAATTCTCCTGCCTCAGCCTCCCGAGTTGCTAGGATTATAGGCATGTGCCACCATGCCCATTTGGGAAGATTTATTTCTTAAATGATTTTCCATTTATTGATTTTCAGACCAAAACTATGATAACTTTTAAACATGTTTTAAACCACAATTAGGTGGTTTAAAACAATGAAAATTTATTGTCCTATAATTCTGGAGGCTAGAAATCCAATATAAAGTATTGGCAGGGTTGGTTTCTTCTGGAAGCTCTAAGGAAGAATCTGTTCCATGCCCCTGTACGAATTTTCTGGTGCTTGCTAGCAAACCTTGATTTGCAGACAGATATCCAATGTCTGCCATTGTCAACGTGTATGGTTCTATCTGTGTCCCTGTGTCTTCACATGGCCTTCTTATAAAGACAACAGTCACTAGATTTAGAGCTGCTCTAATCCAGTATGACTTCCTCTTAATTTAATTACATCTATAAAGTCCCTATTTCCAGATAAGGTCAAATTCACAGGTATTGAGTATTAGGACTTCAACATATCTCTTTAGGGATACAGTTCAACCCACAGAAGTATAATTTTGCAATTTTGATTTTGCCCATTTCATTTTTCTTAAGTTATTTTAATAATTGTCTGTCCATTAACTCATCTTTAAGGTGTAAGAATAAAAGATCACTATATTGTATATACTGTTGGCATGTCTTCTGATGCTAATTTTCATTGTCAGTAAAAGGATAAATGAAAGAGAAAATATGTTTTTCAAATATTTTTATTCATTTTTAAAATTATTTTTTAAATTTATATATGACAGTGGAATGCATAACCATTCTTATTACATGTATACAGAACAATTTTTCATCTCTGGTTGTATATAAAGTATGTTGACACCTGTTCGTGTCTTCATACATGTACTTTGGATAATGATGTCCATCACATTCCACTATCCTTGCAAATCCCCTGCCCCCTTCCTTCCCCCCCACCTCTCTGCCCTATCTAGAGTTCATCTATTCCTCCCATGCTTCCCCTCCCTACCCCACTATGAGTCAGTCACCTTATATCAGAGAAAACATTTGGCTTTTGTTTTTTTGGGATTGGCTAACTTCACTTAGCATTCATTGTCTTCTCTAACTCCATCCATTTACCTGCAAATGCCATGATTTTATTCTCTTTTAATGCTGAGTAAATTTCCATTTTGTATATATACCACATTTTTTTTAATCCATTCATCCACTGAAGGGC